AGTGTGGCTCTTCCACAGAATACCACGTGTGGGCGTGCACCTACAGTGCAAAGTTGACTTAAAACTTTAAGTAAAGTTTATCAAGTTATTTTTAGAGAATGTTGTGGAGTGAAAGAAGATGTAGTGTCGACGACTGAGAAAGGTATGTTGAGATGGTTTGCACATATAGAGAGGATGAACGAAAGGAGATAGACGAAACAAGTATACAAGACGAGTGTGGATACGAGCGTTGGAAGGGGTCGACCTCAGCGAAGGTACCTCAATCAGATTGAGGACGTTTTTAGCAAAGGCCAGCTTAGGAGTACCCCAATTAAGTTAATAACAATGTACCTACCTATATAGTTTAAGTTTAAAAAAATTGGCTCTCAAAAGAAATTTCAATCGTTGTACTGTTGATATTTGGCTCTGTTGACTAATAAGTTTGCCGACCACTGGTCTAGAGTCTTAGATGTAGAAGATGTTGAATAAATGCTTATCAAATTGATCCAATCATGCCTTATTTCTGCCCTTAAAATGTAGTTTGTTAGGGAAGCAGGATGTTCAGTGGGGAACAGCGAATGGCATGTCCCCAATGTGTCCCCTGCTCCTGCCGGTGAGGAGCATGCTGAACACAGGCCTGGAGGAGTGATGTGATTCTCAACCACATCCTTGTGTGATCGCCTGTGCCCTCCAGTCACTCTGCTCACCACAAGACAGGTGGTTGGTGACCAACACCTTTTATTCTTCCCTCAAGTTTTCCAGTGAAAAGCGCACACATGTCATGTGTCTTCACCTTGTCCCAGGGGCTCTCAGTTTATGTGCACCAGCCAAAGGGGAAATGGGAATGAAGAACCCTTCTCCTTTTTTTAATCCTCACTTGAGGATATTTTTCCATTGATTTTTAGAGAAAGTAGAAGAGAGGGAAAGAGAGAAATATCAATGCAAGAGAAACATATCATTGGTTGCCTCCTGCACGCTCCCCCCACCCCCACCCCACCAGGACCTGGGCCAGGGAGGTACGAGGTACGTGCCCTTGACTGTGCCCTTGACCGGAATCAAACACGGGACCCTTTGGTCCGCAGGCCGATGCTCTATCCACTGAGCCAAACCAACTAGGGTAGGAACCCTTCTCCTTTCAATCCTTCAAAACCAGAATGAAAATAGGTCACCTCAAAAAAACTCACTTGCCCCATATGCCATGAACAGTTTATTCTGTGAGCAATGTACTGCTGGTCAGTGTTTGGGAACCACGAAGTTTCCGTTGTCAGTAGGAAGGCTGTTTGGGATCTGCTGTCCCCTCAGAGCTGGAGATCTTCCTAGGCCCAGATCTCATGTTGTCACAGTTTCGTGACCCCAAAATGAAGTCACAGTGGAGACCTACCCCAACTACTACATCAAATAACAAGCCAGGCACCAAAGAACAACTTCATACCCTCACACTGCTTCTCTCCAACACCCTCCTCTTACTCTCCAATTCTGACAGTTTTAACATCAATCCATCCATGACTCTACCACCCTTCATGGCTTCCCACTTCCTCCATGCCCTGGCCTTCCCTCCTTACCCAACTTAAGGCCATCAATCATTATATCACTTCCCTGCACAAACCCTCACTTCCCTTGCCATTTCATGTTTTGTTGAACTTTTTAGGCTAAAACCCAACCCTAAGGCAGGCAAATGAATGTTCAAAGCAGTATTATTTATAATAACCCCAAAGTGGAAATAACCCGAATATCCATCAACTGGTACAGAGATAAACACAATGGGTATATCCACAGAATGGAATAGTATTCAGCAATAAAAAGGACAGCACTGATATGTGTTATTATATGAATAAACCTCAAAAACATGCTAAGTGGAAAAATCCTGATACAAGACCCCACATATTACATAATTTTGCTTATATGAAAGGTTCACAAAAGACAAATCCATATGCCCTAACCGGTTTGGCTCAGTGGATAGAGCGTCAGCCTGCAGACTGAAAGGTCCCAGGTTCGATTCTGGTCAAGGGCATGTACCTTGGTTGCGGGCACATCCCCAGTAGGAGGTGTGCAGGAGGCAGCGGATCGATGTTTCTCTCTCATCGATGTTTCTAACTCTCTATCCCTCTTCCTTCCTCTCTGTAAAAAAAAAAATCAATAAAATATTAAAAAACAAAGAACATGAATACTATTAAAAAAAAAAGACAAATCCATAGAAATAGAAAATAATGAGTGGTTCTCTGGAGCTGAGAGTGGGAAAGGGGGCTCTTACTGGAATGATGGAAATGTTCTAAAATTGAACTGTGGTGATGGTTACACAACTTGGTAAATTTACTAATGATCATTGAATTGTACACTTAAAATGGGTACATTTTATGGTATGTAACTTATATTTCAATAAAGCTGTATGTGTTGTTTGTTTGTTTTTTAAAAAAACAACTTATTAAATTGCCTGTTTTGTGATTCACTACACAGCTATAAGTAGCTGGAAAAGAGAAAAGCAACCACATTGGTCCCACTTAAGACTCAAATGACTTTTAAAAAATGTATTGCCCTAGCTGGTTTGGCTCAGTGGCTAGAGCATCAGCCTGTGGACCAAAGGGTCCCAGGTTTGATTCGGTCAAAGGCACATGCCTGGATTTTGGGCTCGATCCCCAGTAGGGGGTGTGCAGGAGGCAGCTGATCAATGATTCTCGTCGATGTTTCCATCTCTTTTTCCCTCTCCTTTCCTCTCTAAAATCAATAAAAATATTTTTAAATGTATTTATTGATTGATTTTAGAGAGAGAAGGAAAGGGGAAGAGGAAGAGAGAGAGAGAAAGGGAAGAGGGAGAGGGAGAGGGAGAGGGAGAGGGAGAGAGACATCGATTTGTTGTTGCACTTATTTATGCACTCATTGTTGCTTTTTGTATGTGCCCTGACCAGGGCTTGAACCTGCAAGCTTGGCGTATGGGGATGATGCTCTAACCAACTGAGCAAAGAAAGGTTCAGAAAAGGCAAATCTATAGAAATAGAAAATAACGTTCAAGTGAGTTCCTGAGTCTGTCCTCCAATCATACCATAATTCTCAAGCTCCTTTTGTCTCTTACTCTCCTCAATTATTTCACTCCTTCTCTCTCCTCAAATCTCTAACACCTCATTCCCTAGTCTCCCTTTTCATCTGAGAACCCTATTCCTTCTTTGCTCAGAAAACTGAGGCCATCAGAAGAGAACCTCCAGACCCCCATCATCACACCTCCCTGCTGCCTGTTAGTATTATGTTGTCTAGTAGCTACGTGCGGCTATTTAAATTAGTTAAGATTAAATAAAACTAACAATTTGGTTCCTTAGTCTTGCTAGTCTCTTTTCAAATGCTTAATAGCTACTACTTCATGGCTGTGGCTCCTGTATTGGATGGAGCAGAACATCTCCATCCTGTAGGAAGTTCTCCCGGGCAGTGCTGTTCAGAGACCTATCTGTACGTCTGCCTACAGCACATCCTGACTTATTGTGCAGCTCCTCTCACCTAACTCAAGGGCAGTGCTCCAGCAATTCTTTCCTTTCTCCATGATCAGGTTTCAGCTCTATAAGAGACCACTTCCATCAGTATATAACATGATGTTATTTTCCTCATCTTAAAAAAGTAAAAGGGGAACAGTTTGGGGTGACAGAAAAGTTTTGCAAATAGTGGTATTCTCAACACAAAAAAGAAATGTACACCTCAAACTTACATGGATGCTATATGCCAATTATATCTCAATTTAAAAAAGATAATGGTAATGGTTGCACAATACTGTAAGTGTAATTAATGCCATTGAATTTTAAGGATAAAAATCTTTCTAGTCAGCACTTCCCTACACCCACCATGAGCTATAGCCTTGTTTCTCTGTTTCCCTTTATAGCAAAACCTTCCAAAAGACTTGTCTATATTTGCCTTTTCCAATACTTATTCTGTTTTTGCTTTGGCCCATCTAATCTCTCAAGGGCTTACGCCCCACTACTCCATCAAAATTACTTTTATCAGCTGCCAAGTCCAATGGACAGTTATTCTTCCTCTCAGTTGATTTATCAGCAGCTTCTGATGACCCCCTCCTCCTAAAAACATTCTCTTCCCTGTTTCTGAGTCCCAGACCTGTCTCTCAAGACAAGCTCCTCTACCTTTTGCTCTCTGCCTGACTTCTTGGATTCTGGGCCTCCCTGACCCTCTTCAACTTCAACTGTCTGTTTACCTGGACCTCTGCCCACAGACAGCCTGACCCTTCCAACTCACCCCCGCCCCATTACCACTTCACCCGAATGCCCTGACTCCCCTCTCATCATTAATTCTGAGACCTTTCTGAAGAGCCAGCCATGCCCAGGTCTATTTGGTTTCTCTAGTTAAGACATAGTAAGGCCTATCCCATCCTTGACTGAGCCTTGTGCCTAAAAATAATGGACATGAACTTCTAGCTCCTTAAAGGACAGAGTCAATCTTCCTAATTGTGTTAGAATGCTCTCAATTAAAATAGATGAAGTTGGTTGCTGAAAATAATCAATGTTAAACACTTATTTGTATTTTCTTCATGGATCCATCTGCTTTACTTAGATTATTTTATTTAGATGATACTAGAACAGTGATGGCGAACCTATGACACGCGTGTCAGAGGTGACACGCGAACTCATTTTTTTGGTTGATTTTTCTTTGTTAAATGGCATTTAAATATATAAAATAAATATCAAAAATATAAGTCTCTGTTTTACTATGGTTGCAAATATCAAAAAATTTCTATATGTGACACGGCACCAGAGTTAAGTTAGGGTTTTTCAAAATGCTGACACGCCGAGCTCAAAAGGTTCGCCATCACTGTACTAGAATATACTTTGTATTCTGTTACCTAGAAAAAGAGAGTGCTTTTAGATTTCTCAGGAAACTGGACAAGGATAGAAGATGTGCTTGGGTCCAAATAAAAATAAAGTAAAATGATGGCTACTAGTGTCAGCCCAGGGCTGGAAGTTATTCAATCCTAGATTCCAATTTTCACCTTTACTAATCCTAACACATCTCTTAGGATTAAAGCCACATACCTGGAAGCATCAAGGAACGGTCTGTAGGCCAGGCTGACCCATTCTTCCCTGTTAGATGAATATTTTGGCTCCCGGGGTGTTTCTCTCATGGTGTCCAAATCCACTAAATAATGGCATTTACTGATGTCAATCTGCAATGGAGAAAGGCCAACTCTTCATTAGTAATTACAAGGGTGCCTTCAGGGTCAGGAACATAAACTGCAATTCTAAGCATTCCCAGAGTTTTAGAAGCATAAGCATCCAAGTCCTTAGATGTTACCTGTGTTCTCTCCAGTTGGGGCATTACCTAGGCTCCTGGGAGTAAGGGGGAGATACGCACACACCGAGCCAAAATATATGTAAGCTTTGTGAGTCTCAGATAAGAGTGTTGGGTGTTGGGGTATTACCTAGGCTCCTGGGAGTAAGGGGGAGATATGCACACACCGAGCCAAAATATATGTAAGCTTTGTGAGTTTTGATTCTAGTTTGGGTATTAAGTCCTTTTAGCCAAACACACTTCTGAAACTAGCATGAGTCTACAACCTACTCGAAAAATTACGTATCTTCTCTTGTTCACTATTGCTCCCTCCCAATGATCACTTCTTAATGCGGAGATTAAAGGCAAGACTAAACACACATGCTGATGTGAAAGGAAACCCTGTCTCTGCTGACAGAGCCGAGTGAGGGTGCAGAGATATCATGCATATCATCTCCTTCAAAAATTCAACAGAACAGACAGAGACATGGGAACTGTTCCTGCAGCAAAAGATCAATAAACTGTAAGAGTGGAGAAAATTATGAAAAAATATGTTGTAACAATAAGCAAAACTCGTCATTCAGTTGCTCACATCATGGAGACAACACAGCATCACAGGTGCTCAGAAGAGAATATTATAACCATGTTGGGCCTGGCCGGCGTAGCTCCGTGGTTAAGCGTCAACCTATGAATGTGGAGGTCATGGTTCCATTTCTGGTTGGGGCACATGCCTGGGTTGTGGGCTCAATCCCCAGTGTGGGGTGTGCAGGAGGCAGCCAATCAATGTTTCTCTCTCTCCCTCTCCCTTCCTCTCTGAAATCAATAAAAATATATTTAAAAAAAAACAGGAACCCCCGCCCCCACACACACATAATTGGTATTGTGCTTATAACAAAATTAATTCAATGGGATATGCTATAAACTGTAGGATACTTCTGCAGTTAAATAGTTCATTTCAAACATTCTCTCATCTTGAAGGCATCAGAATATTTACTACCCACAGGGAAAATTTTTAATTTTAAAGAAACTTTTAACTTTTCAAAAATAAAAAATAAAGACTTGAGGTGATAAACACATAATACAATATACAGATGATATATTATAGAATTGTACCCCTGAAATCTATATAATTTTATTAACCAATGTCATCCCAATAAATTCAATTAAAAATACAATAATAAAGATGACACAAGTTTCTCTGAGGTTAAATAAAACTCAAAGATAGAAAATATCACTGTGATATTGTGATTTAAAATAAATATATATTTTGGTTTTTGTCCACAGTCCTGGCTCACAGCTCCCAAAACACTTGTTATTTCCTAGTTAATAGCAATGGGAGCATCTTTTATTATAATATTAGGTCTCCTGTCCTCAGTTCCTGAAATTCCTTCAAAGCCATAGAGATGAAAGGGGTGTCTCATTATTCATAGCAAGCTGCTTTCAACAGCAACTGAGTTTATATTAACAGGGTAACTTTTGGAAAGCACCTAAAAATGAGAGAGGAGGCTGGTCACCAAGTGATTAGAGGGTTCAAACTTTCAGCCCTACCCCTGACCTCTGAGGAGGAAAGAGAGATTATACCCTGAGTTTAATCACCAATGGCCAATGATTTCATTAATCATGACTGTGTAATGAAGCATCCATAAAAACCCAAAAGAACGGGTCCAGGAGATTAAGTTGGTAGAAGTTTTTCAAAAAACTGGACGAATCTACTAAAATTGAACATAGGTATCTCCTATGATCCAACAATTCTACTCCTAGGTATTAGATTGAACCATATGAAATCATTAATATCTGACTGTTTAATGTACAAAAATGGTCATTTCACATGGTTCAAGCTAAGTATATCCAATTGAAATGCATGCAGCAAAAAGACAAGTTCAAGAATGTTCAGTGTCATTATTTGCAGTTGGTTCAGATTGGAAAAAAACAAACATCCAACAGTAAAATAATAAATTGTGGTATAGCCATACAATTAAATACTATCTATACTACTAAAAGGGTAATATGCTAATTAGACCAGAAGTCTTCCGGACATCCTTCTGGACAAAGCTGCAGTGGCTGCAAGGGCCAAAGGCAGGCAGCCATGGCGGCGGCTGCAAGGGCAAAGGGAAGGCAGCCATGGTGACTATGAGGGCCGAGGGAAGGCCGCTGTGAAGGCCGGCAGTGGCAGCAGCAGCGAAGTGATGGGGGCGGCGCCTTCCCCTGATCGCCCAGTTGTCCCACCCGCCTCCCCCCACAGAGGGAGGCCAGAGGCAGCAGCAGCAGTAGCTGGGGCGATGGGGGGCACCTTCCCCTGATTGCCCAGTCGCTTCCCGCAGAGGGAGGTCAGAAGCGGCAGCAGCAGTGGCGGGGTGATGGGCCAGAGGCAACAGCAGTGGCTGGGGTGATGGGCAGCGCCTTCCCCTGATCAACCCGGTCACCTCCCGCAGAGGGAGGCCAGACTGTGACGGGCCTAAGCTGTCAGTAGGACATCCCCTGAGGGCTCCCAGACTGTGGGATCAGGCCTAAACCAGCAGTCAACATCCCCCGAGGGGTCTTGGATTAGAGAGGGTGCAGGCTGGGCTGAGGGATTCCCCCCGCCCCCGTGCACAAATTTCGTGCACCGGGCCTCTAGTCTATAATAATAAAAGCGTAATATGCTAATTAGACCAGACGTCCTTCCGGACATCCTTCCAGACAAAGCCGGGGCTGCGAGGGAAGCCCAGGTCCTGGGTGCCAGAGGGAAGCGGTGCCAGCAGCCAGGGGAAGGAAGGCCTATTCTTGCACGAATTTCGTGCATCGGGTCTCTAGTATAGTAATAAAAAAGAACAAACCACAAATATATGCAACATGCATGATTATCACAAACAAAATGTTGAGTTAAAGGATTAAGACACAAAAAATGCAATATGATTCCATGTATATGAAGTTCTACAACAGGCAAAACTAACTCATCCTGTTTAGGAATGCATATAAGAGGAGTAACTGTAAAGAGGAAAGCAAAGAAATTATTATAATAGAGTTGGGAAGCTCCATCTGAAGGGTGAGTAGGTAGTGACAAAAGGAACTGCTGGAAGCTTCTGGGTGCTGGCAATGCCCTGGGTGATGGTTAAACAAGTATTTGCTTTATTTTCTATTATTATTAATTTACTGCACACTTATGCTTTATGCACTATGGATTACACAGAATTGAAGGTTTTTTAAGTGCATATAAGAAAAATTCAGTCGCCTCTGGCTTACAGTAAACTCTGTTCTTCCCCAACCTCTCACTCAGAGTAATAGTCTCATTTTCTCCCAGCATTATTTTTATGAAATGAAGATTCCAGTCTCACATCTGGCTCTGCATACGGGCTGTTTCTCCAGGGGAGAGAAAGCATACTGAGAATTGACGTCAGATCCAATTCCATTCCACAGAACGCTCTAAAAATGACCCTTTGCATAAACACTTCAGGAAGCAGCCTTTTTGGTCTGAACCTCCACTCTGTAGCTCCCAAGGATTTTGAAAACATAAAAACTTTTTTTTTTAAGTTTTGCAAGTACCATGTCTCTGAAATGAAACAAAAGCAGCAAGGGCCACAGACTCTCATGGTCTCATGCCTAGACCTCCTCTGGTGAGGGAGCTCTGAGTAGGACATTTTAATACTTGACCTCAGCCAGACACACTACAGTCCTCATTATCTAGACTGGGTGTTGGGTACATGGTCTTTCAGAGATGTGGATAGTAACTAATTAATGCCCAACTATGCCAGTCAGCTTTAGGCTCCACTCATTAACCATCCATATATAAATTCCATTTAAAGTAAAGTTTTATAAAGACAGAAACCGCCCTAGCTGGTTTGGCTCAGTGGATAGAGAGCATTGGCCTGCGGACTGAAGGGTCCCAGGTTCGATTCCCAGTCAGAGCACTGTCCACGTTGCAGGCTCAATCCCCAGTAGGGAGCATTCATGAGGCAGCCAATCAATGATTTTTCTTTCATCATTGATGTTTTTTTCTTTCTCCCCTTTCTCTCTGAAATCAATAAAAAAATATTTTTAAGAAAAGACATAAATCAAGACAAAAATCATATTAATTGCAATCCTAATCCATTTTTTAAAATGTAATCTCTTTAAATCCTTTCTAGGAAACAGATGCTAAAGATTCTTTTTTTCTAAGAAACAGTTATTGAACAACTGAAACACACAAGCACAAAAGCCTCTGGCAGAAAAATGGTTAGTATGATCAAGGGCAGGCTCTCTATTAGAGATGAAATAAGATAATTAGAAAAAGAAGCTCTAACAATCAATCAATAAAAAGGCAACCTATGAAATAAAAAACAATATTTGCAAACCATATATCTGATAAGATATTAATGCTCAAAATATATAAGGAATCCATACAACTCAATAGCAAAACAACAAATATTTTTTTAATATATTTTATTGATTTTTTACAGAGAGAAAGGGAGAGGGATAGAGAGTTAGAAACATTGATGAGAGAGAAACATCGATCAGCTGCCTCCTGCACACCTCTTACTGGGGATGTGCCCGCAACCAAGGTACATGCCCTTGACCGAAATCGAACCTGGGACCCTTCAGTCCGCAGGCCGATGCTCTATCCACTGAGCCAAACCAGTTAGGGCACAACAAATATTTGATTTAAAAATGGGCAAAGGTCCTCAACAGACACTTTTCCAAAGACATACAGGTATATGAAAAGGTGCTTAATATTACTGATCATTAGGGAAATGCAAAGCAAAACCACAATGAGAGCCCAGCTGGTGTTGCTCAGTGGTTGAGTATCGACCAAATCACCAAGAAGGTCACTGGTTCAATTCCTGGTTGGGGCACATGCCCGGGTTTTGGGCTCGATCCCCAGTGGGGGCGTGCAGGAGGCAGCCAATGGATGTTTTGCTCTCACTGATGTTTCTATCTATC